AGGATCTCATTGGAATCTGGGATTTGATCATACATATTATATCATTTATATCATATTACATATGGTTTTCATGAGATCAAGGACAGGGTTTAACTATAGGTTTTGCTAGATCTTTTGGACTTGTAGGGGAAGGGATCTGCGCGCGCCCAAAAGCAATTGTTTCATCCGCCCAGCTCTTCCCGTTCTCCTATGGCCATCTCCAATGGGTTGGTCCCAAAGACATCGCCTGCTGGGCCGAAGATTTTGGGTGTGAACACAATCCAATGGGTGTGAACCCATTATATTGTGACCCCATTATAATATCTGGGTGTGAACCCATTTGGGCCGAAGATATTATCAGTAACAGTTGGTAAAAGATTGTCACAATTATTGAGAAAGGCCTTTGACTAAGCAGGATCATCCACTAGTTACTGGCAATGGGATTATACCCTAGATGCAGCGTCTTCATTTTGTGACCTTTGTGGAGTCCAGACTCCAGACCTAAATGACCTTGTGCAGGCCTAACCCTTAGAGTCCACATGACGCATTTTACCCCCCTATAGGCTCCTACGGGGGGCCGGCGGATATCTGACTCGCAGGTTCGGTAAAACGCATCATTGGAAGTTCTGGGTACAGTGGTTTCAGAGTAGATGGCACTGACCTTAAGATGTCCGTATTACATGGGGGTTCATAAACCACCGATATTGGTGTCTGTGCCATCTCTCAATCCACCTTAAGTGACCTCAACTCATGGGATTAAGTTGGATCGCTTTGAAGAACCACGGCCCTCCCGGTGTCGTTGAAGAACCAGGCCCTCCCGGTGTCGTCAACGACATCCCCGAGGGAGTCCCACCGAGGAATTGAGAGAGAGGGCCCTGAGGGAAGAGGGAGAACACCCCTGAAAGCAAAAGACCATGCCATAGTTAGGTCCAATAGAACGGAAACAGAACAAACTAGAAAAGAAAATCATTTCCTGGAAGTCTTGCTACAGGAACAACATGAATTGAGTTGAAATCCTTTCCTGCCCACTGTCCTTCTGAAGTCCTTTGGACTTTGGTCAATAAGTCAAAGGTCCTTGCTGTGAACATTCCTTACCCAGCTCCTTCGCTCGCCTTAGGGGTCCTGGTTGATATGTTTCCTAGAGTCTCGAGACTGATCAAACACAAGCGTTCATCTGAGACGGGCTATGGTGGAGGTGGTTAGAACTGAGACAGGGAAGACAGAGCAGATCCAAAGAAACATCTGGCATAAACCTTGTGACCCCCCCAAACTGTAGTATGTATACATTGGGTTTGGAACCCACAAAAACTATTGATTTTTCTCCTGGCTCATCATGCTCTGACATAACATTCAGTTTTTGAGCCCTTTTGGAAGCGCAAAAGATCCTCGAGAAAAAATTGGGGATTGTTCCACTTTTAGCTTTTCGGGATGGCAGATCCGGAATTCCATGGGCCATCCGGGCACCAATGGTCCTTCACTACGGATATCCGGGTCCTCAAAAGGAGGATCCAATCTGCCGGGTTCAAAAGAAAGGTCGCCAGGCTGAGAACGGGGTGCCCATTGGTTGCACGCCAGTAACAAAGGCATCGCTACTAGTAACAAGTGCATTACTACTAGTAGCAAGAAGCTACTACTACTACTACTACTACTACTGCTACTACTACTACGACTAGGACTAGGACTAGGACTACGACTACGACTAAAACGACTACAACAACAACAACAACAACTACTACTACTAATGCTCTTGTTACTAGTAGCGATGCCCTTGTTACTGCTAGTGATGGCCTTGTTACTAGTAGCGATGCCCTAAACCAAGTAGACTAAGTTGACTGAAGGTCAACCTAACATGGTTGAGGGAATTGTGAGTGCAAGTGGACAAGAAGCCCTTTGGGGGGTCTATAGTTTTTGGACCCATGCCCATACATAGCTTATTGTATAAATATCAGGGGAGTTGAATGAATTGTACGTCATGATACCACTCGCGAGTGCATGGGCGTACAAGAGTCTTTGGAGGCAGTTCCACAGACTAGATATTATATGTAAAAGGAAGCAAGATCTTACATGGAGCACCTGGTGCCGTCGCGGTTTCACAACATGTCCATCGCACACTGCAAAACACTGACGCATGAGGCTCAGATGCTTGGTCCCCTCCCGTGAGCACATGCGAGTTTTCGATGCTGAGTTCGCAACGAAGCTGAGACAACTGATACAAATTACATGACTGACAATTGCTTAGATAGGCAAAGGCAGGATGTATATAAAATCACCCGTCCCAATGTAAAATTATTTCACCGGACCCGTCACCTACTAAAATAATTTTTTAAAATAATTATAGCTGTATATTATTTGGGGCAACCCCGTTGGTGGTGGGTGCCAGATTAATTAGGAGAGGTGGGTATGAGGTACCCTAAAATAATTAGCGTCGTATGAGAAGCTGAAGGTCCACCACCTACCAAAATAATTTCAATCATGATGAAGTATGTATATTATGAAGGTAGTCCCTAGGAGGTCAAGGACCTATTAAAATAATATAAATTAATTAAACATAATGATATTTGACGATCAAGAGACCCCTGAAATAATTTCTGCAGAAGGCTAAGCAAAGGATGAGGAAACGGTTAACTATTTTGAAACAACTAATGCATATGATACATGACGATCAAGAGA